GTGTCTCTGGGCTTTATTGCCTCCCCTTATTAAATTTACAGTATTTACAACAGTTTTCATTGTCTCACTGAGCCTTATAATTTTTCCACAGAGAGCCTCCTGGTGGATAATGCAGTGGAAAAACAAACAGTGTATTTAGAAACGACATTATCCAGTGTGTTGAATATGTCAGTACCTTTGGTGCTGGTTTCTAATGATTTTAATTCCAACAGTTCTTCATGAATTTCAAATTCTTCGTTTATTGTTCTGACAAAGATAAGGAGCTGGCTGATGTCAGCTATATCTGTGCTCTCATCTAGAGCTATAGAGTAAAATCCACATTTTTCCAAAATGCCCTTGAGAGTACCTGAAACTTCACTACCCATATCATTAATTCTTCTACTTACTGTCTGATGAGACAAGGACACTGTTTCAAAATTTTTAGCCATCTTATTATCTCCAAATGAAGATGCCATTTTTACAGCACATCTTTTAATGAGCTCACCATCCCTAAAACACTTTTTACTTTTAGCTAGCTCTAAACATACCTCATAAGATGCCTTCAAACCAGCAGTGTTTGATGGTTGCTGAAAGATATTCTTCTGTCTAGTTAATTTCAGTTTCAAATCATTAAACACACAACTCCTGGCACTTCCCTGGTATTGGTCGTATTTTGATTTATGCAAGCTGGTATAATGTGTACTCACATTATACCCCTTCGAAACACTTAAGACTTGAGAACAGATAACACACTGTGGTTTTTCATTATGTTCAACACAAAAGTAACTTTCTTGCCACGTGGACTGCAGTTGTCATTTCTCATCTTCAACACGCAGTTTCTTTAGTTCCACCGTTTTAGGTAGTATTGAATGAAAGTGAAAATCGCAGCATGCACGCCACAGATTATAACGGTCGAAGAGTGAAGCTTATTATTGAGGTGGCCATTATAGGAGAAATGAAGATTGTAAGGTGCTGCCATCTGATGGGCAGCATTGCCAATATCAGCAGTGTCCCACTAAATCTTCTTTCTGTATGCTCTGCAGGGCAGCGGGAAGAAAATAATGTTTAGTGTTGGTCACTCTGTCCTGAATTGATGTTGCCAACATTGCTGATGGCATTTCCTTGAATTTTACAAATATGATTTATTCTGTTTACTGTTATTTAAACTTAAAACAGTAAGAAGGGTATACAATTTTCTCCAAATGTTTAATTAATATTTTTTATCCAGGAAGAAGGGCAAGTGCCAACAAAATGAATAAGAGGGCCGCGGGTTGGACGACACTGTTTTATAATAATGCATGACTATTACGAGTATATTATTTGTCTGTAATAAATTGTATTTTTTTGTAGCTCTGATTAAATTTATGGCTTATTTTTATTCAATAGTATCCTCAGTTGGAGGAGGAAGAGGGAATAAAAGCTGGTAGCCATGCGTGTATTAATGCAGAACATGCATGAAGCCTGATCTAAGTGTCTGTAGAATGTTTGCATAAACTGCAGAAGTTTGATGTCATTTTTTTTGTTCCAATAGTGAGACCAAAAGCAACAGGTAGCTCTGATGAGAAGGCACCAGACTCTTCAGATAATGGTAACAAAACTCGTAGTGGTTGGCCCAAAGGAAAAAAGCGCAAGAAAGCTCAGCGAGACCAGACAGCTCCTAGACAGCCACTTACAGGCATGTAATGCTGTAGCTGGTGACCAAATGAAAAGTATCTGTAGGACTTACCACTGGCAAAAACTGTATATATTTCACTTACATTGCAGGTTATGTGAGATTCTTGAACGATCGAAGGGAGAAAGTTCGTTCAGAAAATCCAAACCTCCCTTTCCCAGAAATAACGAAACTTCTAGCTGTTGAATGGAGCCAGTTACCAGCTAGTCAGAAACAGGTATTATTATGTGCTATGAAGCTAAACATTCTATAATTAATTTCAGAACTGTCTTAATGCATTTGTTTTGTCACCAGCATAACATCACTCCATATTTCTAGTGTATTCTATCTTCTGCTCTTCATATATTTTTACCACTTACACCACCCTTCATTTATAGATGAAATTATTGGGTATCATCAATGTGGCTTTTGACGTAACAGATCAACTACAGATCAGATCTTTTCATTCGTCAGATATTGGAGAAAAAATGGGAGTACAATGAGACAGTACATCAGCTATTCATAGACTTCAAGAAAGTCTATGATTCGGTTAGCAGGGAAGTGTTGTACAATATTCCAATAGAGTTTGGGATACCCATGAAACTGGTTAGGCTGATTAAAATGTTTTTAAACAAAACGTATAATAAAGTCCATATAGGTAAACATTTGTATTGTAACTTCTTATGTGGCCGTTGCGCAGCGATGACCATAACATAGCACGTTACAGTATGATAAATTTTCTATCCTGAATGGTCTAAAATAAGGAGATGCTTTATCACCACTCCTTTTCAACTTTGCTTTAGAATATGCCATTAGGACGATCCAGGAAAACCAAGTGGGACTGAAACTAAACAGGACACATCACCTGTTGGCCTATGCTGATGATGTGAATCTACTGGGTGATAATGTAGATACCATAAAGAAAAACACACAGACTTTAATTGACGCAAGTAAAGAGTTTCGTCTAGAGTAAACACATAGAAAACTAAGTACACGTATATGTTACTGTCTCGTCACCAAAATGAAGGGCAAAATCATGACATAAAGATAGGAACCAGATGTTTTGAAAATGTTACACAGTTCAAATATTTGGGAACAACGATAACAGATCGAAACCTGATTCAGGAGGAAATTAAGAGGCGATTGAACTCGGGTAATGCTTGCTACCATTCAGTCCAGAACCTTTTGTCTTCTCGTCTGTTGTCCAAAAACATAAAAATTAGAATATACAAAACTATAATTTTGCCTGTGGTTCTGTATGGGTGTGAAACTTGGTCTCTGACATCAAGGGAGTAACATAGACTGAGGGTCTTTGAAAACAGGGTGTTGAGAATATTTGGGCTGAAGAGGGATGAAGTGACTGGAGGTTGGAGAAAACTGCATAATGAGGAGCTTCATAACTTCTACGCTTCTCCAAGTATAATTTGAACGATCAAGTCAAGGAGGAGGTGGGCAGGGCATATAGCATGAATTGAGGAGATGAATGCATATAGGATTTTGGTGGTAAAGCCAGAAGGAAATAGACCACTGGGAAGACCAAGGTGTAGGTGGGTGGACAATATTAAAATGGATCTTACAGAGAAAGGATGGGATGGTATGGATTGGATTGATCTGGTTCACAATAGGGAACAGTGGAGGGTTCTTGTGAACACTGTAATGAACCTGCGGGTATCATAAAATGCTGGGGAATTCTTGAGTAGCTGCAGAATTGGTGGCGGCTCCAGAAGCCCTCAGCTCCATGAGTGAGTAAGTAAGTAAGTAAGCATGCCACTCTTTTATCCACCAGTCATATTTATTATGATGTTTTTTCTAATAAGCACAAATATTTGCCTGTTCTTTCATTTCATGAGTGCAAGTGAAAGAGTAAAAATGTATACTTTAATGGCACACATACATTTTCCAAAATTATTCTTTGTAATTTTGCATATCTCATTGCCACTGATCTTCACTTATGAACATACATCTATTGTAGCAAAGCTAATCACACTACAGACACATATAATGTTGCTCTTTTCCCTTATGAAAACTATATGACATATATAACTCATATAAACTGGCCAAGATAGGCATTTGAAATTAGATTTTGTGATCATTAGTTGTCCACATACATGTACAGATTGTCATGTATATGAGTAACTGTAGAAATGATCTGGGTTGGTAATTGGATTTATTAATGCTTACAGAACGTAACTACAAATAATGATTATGCTTTTCTGTTCTACACACTTCACAAATCACTGAAACCATCTCTTCACCATTCATTGCCTGGTGATAGATCCCAACATTGGCCTCTGCTTCCATGTTCACGTTCTTGCCAGCTGGTGACTGTCTCAGACATTTTTGCTCCAAGGCTTATACGTAGGTAGGCTGAAAAGTAATGCACACATGCTTGTAGAGCGCGAACGAAATGATCTTCAGAAGCGTGCCAGGTGGCATGTGGAAGTAACATTCCCCCTCAATACGCATGCGCAGGTTTGAGTTCGTTGCGTTCATCCAGTGTATTTTGAGAAGCGGAAGTATGGAGACGTGTTCTAGTGCTATGTCAACGCGAGTTAAACAGCGTGCTGTTATCAAATTTTTAACTGCTGAAAAAGTGACTCCTACTGAGATTCATCGTCGTTAAAAGGCTGTTTATGGTGACGATGCTGTTGATAGGTCTACTGTAAATCAGTGGGTATTAAAATTTCATTGTTGCGAGCCTGGAAAAGCCATAATTGTTGATGAAACATGCAGCGGACGTCCAATCACTGCCACAGACAATAATCATCGCAAACTTGTCGACGATTTGATTCAAAATGACCGGCGAATCACTCAAAAGTGTATCGCAAACCATATTGGAATATCCAAGGAACGTGTCAGCTTCATTATTGAACAATTGGGATACCGTAAAATCTGTGCATGATGGGTACCATGCCGTCTCACAGACGAGAATAAACAGCGTCGACTGGAATGCTGCGAGCAACTTTTGCAGCACTACCATGACGAAGGAGACGACTTCCTTTTGAATATTGTGATGGGGGACGAGTCATGGGTCCATCATTACGACCCAGAAGAGAAAAGACAGAGCACTGAATATCAACATCTGTCTTCTCCTCAGGCGAAAAAGTTCAAAACACAACCATCCGCCAAAAAACTTCTTTTGACTGTGTATTGGGATGCTCACCAAGTTTATGTGACCGATTTTCTGGAACGAGGGGCAATGGTAAATTCTTCTCAGTACATACAGACTCTAGCCTTAATGGTGACTATGTTGAAAAATAAATATATGCTTTTGAAACTTAAGAATTGTACTTTAATGTACTTTTTGCCCGATCTTGCTATTTGTTTTTGTTCGCGCTCTACAAGCATGTGTGCATTACTTTTCAGCTTACCCACGTAACATCTTAACATGGACTGCAACTGTCCTGCTTTTAAAATCTCGACATGGACTGCACAGAAAAAACCGTTCCTTTGTTGATATTTGCAGTTGTTGCCATGCAACCATGCTTGTGTGCAAAGCTGGTACTCAGTAACGACTGTTGTTTTTTTGCTTACCTTGCGGTTGTTGCCCAGCAGTGGGTCTATATGCCATGATATGTGTGCATGCATGTGCCCACATGCACATTGTAGCTCTAAATGTATAAATATTCTAACATAGCTGTCTCCTGGCAAGTGTACAGGTTACTATCCTGAAAAATTTGTAGCTGGCAAAACCAAGACCTTATGGGATACTAGAATTAGGGCGAACAGTGGCCATTATTAACAGCAGGCCCAAATTAAGTTGCTTGTTTCTTCACTAAAAACAAAAAGTATGTAACGTGTTTAGAAAATATTATATATACTGCTAAATCTGAAAAGCTGCACTGCAAGGGGAATGTGGAGGCTAGAAAACTGTGCTTTGATACCATTACTGCCCTGCCCCAGCAAATGTCTGTCCGTAGGTGGGAAAGCCGCTGTCTTCTCCATGAGTACGCAAGTTGAAAGTCATGGATATATAAATCAAAATACTGCCACTGACAGAACTGGTTACAAATGAAAAATCACAGTTGGTGATGGATTGTAGTGTGCTATTCTTTGCTTATCAACAAAAGAATTGTTATATTCACCTGTATGTTCCACAGACTTTACATGTTAAAAGTGGTTTATGTTGGGAGACCATGTTGTGACTATGATGAGAATAAATGCTGATGTTGGGAATTTCGAAACTTTTACGTAAATCAAGTAAAGAAGTGTCAGTTGTTTGCCAAACTCTACTGGGACACGTTACATTTGGTGACTTGTTTGTAGCACTATTTAGATGCAGCAGAGCAAGATCGTGAACGATATATGCGCGAACTACAAGCTTATAAACAAACAGAAGCATACAAAATCTTCACCCAGAAACAGTCTGAAAAGAAACAGCGTGAAGATAAACCAGTGGAAGCAACTGTTCAGCCAGAAGAGGTACAAGCAATGCTAACTGGATTGTCAATATTGATTGTACATAAATGAATTTGTAAACTGTAAATAGTAACACGCATGAAACAAAATTATTTTTGCTGTGCAGGATACAGAAAAAGAGGCTGATTATCCAGGGTTTGATATTCCCATTTTTACTGAAGAATTTCTTGATCACAATAAAGGTGAGTTGTGGAGGTGATTGAGACTAGCTCTTTCTAAGGGGCCCAACTGAGTAGGTTAAACCTTCCCTATACACCTGAAGACGGAGACAGATCCAGTCTCCAAAACGTTGTGGTTTTTTGTCTTTTTATATACCGGACGATGGGTGAAGTCCAAAATAAGCCAAAATAAGTACTGTGGAGGTATTGTTAAAAGTATTCTTAAGAGACACATCAAGTAAAAGGTGAAAGGTTTATTATTATTATTATTATTATTATTATTATTATTATTATTAGAGGGGGTGGGTTTCCCCATGCACCGCGACTAATAGTCTATTGTATGTCCCCCTTTGATATTCTACCAGTTGCCATACCCTACCGGTATTGGTGCGTGCTATCAGCTCCGTTCAGCCAACGAGGTCGGCCCTCGGTACCTGATACTTCCCGCATCTACCAGAGGCGTTGGAAACTACTTGGGCGGGAAAGTTTTTGCCTAATTTTGCTCAGAGGCCTCCTAGAGACATGAGGATCTTTTACATGCCATAAATCTACGACATGGGACCCATGGCTTAATGTCCCTCCCGGAGGACTTGTTCCCTGAAGTTTTCCACCCTTAAAAATTCCACGACCTCTGCCGGGTTTGAACCTGCGTACCTTGAGTCATGAGGTGGGAACGTTACCCCTAGACTACGGAGGCCGCTGAGGTGAAAGGTTTGTTAGCAAATATATGTATATATGACAATGCATAGTTCCATTTACAACCTCAAATATATTCAGCAAGTAATAAACTAAATTGGGGCAGGAAGGAACATGCACAAATAATCACAAGTCCAGTAATGGAAAGTATACTGCAGTCCATTAATTCTGCGGTTTTGATCTTGTCAAATATATGGGCTAGGAGCTGGGGTAGTATAGTCGGTATAGTGACTGGCTACGGGCTGGACAACTAAGGGGTCAGATTTCAAGTCCCAGTAAGGTCAAGAATTTTCTCTTCTCCATATTGTCCAGACTGGCTCTGGGGTCCACCCAACCTCCTATAGAATGGGTACCAGGGGCACTTTCCCCGGGGGTAAAGCGGCCGGGGCGTGAAGCTGACCACTCACCTCCAGCTAGTGCTGAGGTCAATAAAATATGGATCTATACATCCACTCCCTCATATGCCTTCATGGCATAGTGCTTAATTCATTGAGCACAGGGACAACTTTACCAAGTATATGGACAGTTAGATGATATTTGATGCAAACACAGTGCTGATAATGAAGTAAATTAAGGATGAGTGTAGATTCATAATGCTATAAAGAGATTCAGTATAGTGCATAATGAAACAGACAAGTATATGTAAGAAACCTAAAATTCATAACGTAGTGTTTCAGCATAATATGATTATTTTATTTGTTATGTAGGAGACACACTATTAAAGTACATAACTATTTTTGGAGGGTGGGTGATAAAATATATGTGGTGTGTACTTCTGGACCTATAGTTAATTTCCCCCCCCCCCTCCATTATCTGGAGATTATTCTCATAATGTTTTAAAATTTGTGAGATTTAATTTGTTTGTACAAGGAGACTGAGGGCCTGCCGCACACGTTCACTCAGTCCAGTGAGAGGCACAGCTGTTCCTCATGTCAACTATGTGAATTTTTCCTCATATAAAATTGTTCTGTTTTGTCTGCACAGTATTTTGTAGCTCACTGACTCATCAGAACTGGAAGAAAAATACAGATATATTTCCCAGTGTTTGCCAAATTATAGCAGAGAATGTACTGTTTTGTTGCTGATCATGTAGATTTGATCAGAATAATTAAAAAAATTGACTGTTATATACTGGGATATCCAGAGTGTAGTGATCAAATGGTTATATACTGTGTGTGTTATAGCTCGTGAAGCAGAGCTGCGCCAGCTTCGCAAGTCCAACACAGATTATGAGCAACAGAATGCAATACTGCAGAAGCATATTGAGAATATGAAAGCAGCAGTTGAAAAGTTGGAAGTTGAAACAATGCAGCAGCGTAATAACAATTTAGCTCTGCAACAGCATCTGGACCACATGAGAGCTACACTTACTGCAAGCTTCCAGAATATTCCACTTCCAGGTAAGACATGAATAAACATTAGATCAGTGGTTGTCAACCTTTGTCAGACTGCAGCCTGGTAAAGTCTTGCGTGTGGTAAAATTTATAATAATGGAATGCATATGGTGCTGAACACAAATGCCGATATGAACATTGAAAAGGGTGAGGGACTACACTGCTGTCATCATCATTAATATTTATGGAATTTTCATTTCATTCCCTAGATTCTATATGATTTTAGTATTTTTGTATGCTTTTAATCAGTTGCATTAAAAATATTGTGAAATTCATTTTCTTTTTTTTAACACTGTACAGTTATGTGCAACAAGATTCTACAATATAATAGTGTCCAAAGTGTTTCTGATTTACTTTATCAAATGCTTTAACATATTTTGTAAGGACTATGTATGTTTCTATTACAGTCTCTCCATCTATCATTTGTTTTAAGGAAAGATGTTTTCAAACCCTGCCCATAAAGAACAAAGGTAAAGCTGTCCCTGTAACAGGCTGTGAAGGCCCATGCAGTTGTGAGACGTTGAGGCTCCAACATTTTCTAGACAGTCGGCTCCTCTACCCCCCCCCCACCCCCCCAGGAAAATTCCTAGTACTAATTTCTGTTAGAGGCTGAGTCAGCTCCAGGGCCATAGTGTGGCTGGAAGGGTTAGGTCAATTGAAAAATCTAATGACCTCATCATGATCTGAACCCGCAGCCTTCAAGCTTGTAGCATAGTGCTTCAACCAACTATGCCACTGTGTGCCCCCACAAACTCTGCCCCATAAGTAAACATATCAGCATGGTGGATTCTTACATACTGACATGAGGCAGAAGTGTCATATGTGAATAACAACCAAAGGAGTAATGGCACTAACATGCCATCGGTGATTCAGTATTAATTATCTGCCTTGCAGCAGTGTTATTTGGTGCACACTGCAGAGTGGATAGTGTTGACAAGTTTATGGATTATATGGCATTTCATATTGGCACACACAGCACCTTCTGCTATACAAAACAAAGCCTAGAATATGACATGCTCAGAAACTCAAGAGACAAGGTGTCTGTGGTATTTAGATGAATATGACACATTATAAATTTTGTATTTGTTTTCTTATCTATACATCTATACCCATTCTGAAGGAAACTGCAATATCTACTTCTGAGCCATCAGTATAGGAATTGCTGATAGGCATTACCATGGAAACTAAAAAAAGTAAAGCTATCCCTGTAACAGGCCGTGGAGACCCGTAGGGTTGTGAGATGTTGAGGCTCCCACATTTTGTAGACATTTGGCTTACGGATAGTGGTGAGGTCAGCCTTACACGCTGGCTGCTCTTTATCCATAGGAAGATTTCTGGTATTCATTTCTGTTAGAGGCTGAGTCAGCCCCAGGGCCATAGTGCGGCTGGAAGGATTAGGTCAATCAAAAACTCTAATGACCTCATCAGGAATTGAACCCAGAACCTTCTGGCATGCAGCATAGTGCCTCAACCAACTACACAAATGCTTTCACGGCGGTGACTATGAAGAAAGCAGTCTTTTGGGATTTGGCACTGTGTATATGTGGTGGTAAAAGCAGTCTGCTTTTACTGGTTCTCACGGTCTCTTCGCTTGCAGATTTCTTATATTTTCTTCTACCCTGAAGATGGAGGCGATACGTTCCTCCGAAACGTCGGTTAACACCACATATACACAGTGCCAAATCCCAAAAGACTGCTTTCTTCAGTATAATAATGTGCTCGATTTAACCATGAAAAATTACAGAAGTCCACATGACCGTGATCCTTAACCGTTCAGCGTGGTTTGACGTGTATGTTTCGTCAGGTATTTAAATCGTCTGGGGGGG